AGACCCAAATACTGTGACAGGTTTCTGGATTGTAAAATGCCAAGTGTCCTCTCATACAGAAATTTGATTTTCTTTAGTGCAGTGTTGAAATCATTTGAGGTACAGTTTCAAATCTCCTTTGAAGCACAAAAGATAAGAGCTCTAAAAAGAATTAGCAAATAGCAAAGATAAGACTGTGTTACGAAAAGAAAATAGGAGAGTGAGGCTGGCAGAATAAGCTGCAGGCTCAGAATGGACAGAGGAGTGGGCGTTGTTAGTGGCTTTCACAACAGCATAAGTCATGGGGGACAGTGGTCAGTGTGACAGGTTTATAGGAACGCATGGTGTTGATACGTGGTTTCTCTGTCACGATGATTCCTGTAAATGCTACTGATGGGTTCTGGTGAGTAAATAGTTAGTAATTTACTGTTATCAACATTAAACTATTTCTGGTTTTGTGTTTACTTAAAAAATGATACTTAAAAAATTCTAAATCCATCCTGATTGACACTGAAATGCTCTTTACATGAAAGTTTGTTTATGGGCAGTGATTCTTTTGACAGATTTACAAGTGCCTGTGGAGTTTTAAAAGACTATTGCCCAATAGGCATTAAGTGAGGGACATTCTATTGTGTAAATATTTTCACTTATATTGGGGATTTTTAAAGAACTTTTAGAGCCAAATACTGCATTAAATCTGAAGACAGTGGCAAACTGATAATCAGCAGTTTCCAGCTTTGTTCTAATGTTTTCCTAATGGTTTCCATTTCTATGGCCAAGATTTGCAGTGGGTGAAGCATGATGTACATCCAGCAACTCGTTCTTTTTTTTTTTTTTTCAATAGCTCATTTAGAAATAAACAATTTTCAAAAAGTAGTATATTGCATTTTATTTGGCTAACATATAATACATGTCAAGAAAAGGAATCAAAAGTTGGTTACAGTAATAGTGAATTTGCATATGTTTGGACCCATTAATGCTGAAAAAGGATGTTCGTTGTTTCCTCTAAAGATTACTTTGGAATGAGTTGATGAGAGAGGAAGTGCATGTGAGGTATCAGGTTCTTCAGAATTCTATCAGATTCCTCGGAAATTCAGAAATTTTTTTCTTTCTTAGAAGGAAACTTCCTAGAGTGTACATATATTTCAAAGAAAGAATATTTAATAGAATCCTTACCTCAGAATCATTCTAATGAAAAAAAAACAAAAAAACTTGCTGTTTTTTTTTTTTTTTTAAAGGAAAATGTTTCCATTGCAGACCATATGAGAACAATACCTGAAGAAATCGTGTGAATGTCACACATTATAGCATTTTTAGCAAAGAAAATCAGAACAATTAGTGGAACTTTTCAATTTTCATTTCATAATGTTTAGCCAGAGTTAGTAGGTTTTATAAATATGTATATAAATAAATTTTAAATAAATTTTTGAATAAATATTAAGAAAGTATTATCAAAATTAGTTTTATTAAGTTTGGTGAAAATTAACTTCCAAAAACCTCTATATTATGTTGTAGTACTGAGATAGGTCACAGAGTAGTGTGATAGCCTTTCACAAAAATTGCAAATTGAGGTTGACAAAGACCACCTGACTTTTACGTGTAGGATTCAGCTGCTGTTTTAATGAAAGCACTTGATTTAGCCCACAATTAAAATAATCTTCCTTTTCTGAATGTCTTTACTTGTATCTAGTTTGTGATTTCTTTGAACACACTTTCAGCACTGTTTTCCATAGGCAAGCTTGATGAAGTTCCTAGGTTCATAAGCCTGAAAGATGCATCTGTTTTGTGGTCGTAGCCATTGCTTTATTATATTGGAGAAGGAATCATTATTCTCCATCGTGTTCTTCATTACTGAGGGGGAGACTGAAAGAATAACGAACACATTTCAACAGGGCTATAGCATTTTTGAGACAGCAGCTCAAGCTGAAGTTCATAATGTCTTCAGCCACTGAGTCCATATCTATGTTAGCAACTAAATAAATTGAAGATTTATTCAAATATTTCAATGCAGTTGAGTTTAAACAGAATTAGATAACTTTCTGCTGCCTGAAAGAATACATTTCTTTTCTCCGTAGACCAGAAGTATAGGTCATTCACCGGAGTCTAATCTAAACTCAGAGTCAATTAAAGGTGAATTAATCAGTACAGGACAAAGTCGTTACTCTTACGATTAGCAGTTTTTCACCCAATAACTGTTATCCTTGATTTCCGTTGCTCAAATCTAAAACTTTCTTATGGCCCTTCAGTTCATTTTGACAGTTATCTCAAGAACTTCATGGATTAGACTTTTGCTACAGATAGTTTAATCTAGGTAAATATTTTCATCAAAGTTGCCTAATGGTATCATTTTAAAGCTTTTCAATAGTTTAATTTCTTTGTCTTCTAGCATTTACTTGACTACTTTTGTCTCTTCCAATTTTATTGCTTCAAGATTACATAAGCAGTGCAGACCGGCATTTCATCTAATCTCATGTGATTTCAAACTTAGAGTTTTAAATCAGCACCTGTGGTTGACTTATTCTACATTATGTGTCTCATTTGCTCTTCTCTGATGTGCCTGTCCTTTTACTCATCCTGTCCTCTCACTCTAAATATTGTTCTTGTTATGGATTTTAAGATTCTACTAAAGAAATCACCACCCTAATCTACTTTCCCATATTTTTCTGTAGTTTTTGTCATCTAATTATGGTAAATGTTAGTCTTTCTTATTCAAAAATATTTTTATTGAAGGGATTTTTCATATTCTTTCTTTCTAACTTAAAAGCAATTTGTCCTAGGCTTGATCATTTAAATATGTGCATAGGACATATCTGAGTAACCTTTGTAATAATCTTGTGTTATTAATGCTTATTGGAAACATCTAGGATGCTTTCAGTACTCAAGACAATGTATTAGTAGCACTGCTTATTGGTTTAAAAAAAAAAAAAAAGCACCTTTCCAGAGTATATTGTTATACATACAGTGGTTGTTTATATACTCTAGTTATAAGTGTTTTCATATATATATTCGTATCTGTATCTATTTGTACAAATTTATTTCATTGCTATAACATAATAAATGACTTGCAATAATTTCAACCTAAGGTGATCATATTAATGATGCACATTTTATAAGCACCATATATCAAATGTCTCAACATGATGTGTACTATCTGCCTTTTGACATTTTATATTGCTTTAAAATAAATTCTAAATATTATTTTATATAAGATTTTCCTTTTTTAAAATGTATTGATAATTAGGCACAAACTTGTAGCTGCTACTTTGTATAAAATCTCAGTTGGAAAATTAACAGTAAAATCTTGGGTATTTCGCTAGATTTTTTTTTCTTCACAATGTGATGTCCATCTTCTTCCTAAGTATTACAATTTCCTTGAGCAGATGTAGAAAACTCCTTTTAATTCCACAAATTAAAATGTTACATAAATTTCATTCAGAGTATGATATGAAGTTCGAACTTTTAATTGTAAGAGGCATGTACTTTCTGGAAATAGTCTTAAAAGTCTTATAGACTTTGATTTCTGATTTGCCTAATTTCATAGAATCATCATAGAACCATTGAATGCTTAGGTTGGAAGGAACCTTAAAGTTTATCTAGTTCCAACACCTGTCCAATTTCAGTTATTAAAGACGCATAACAGAGCAGCTAATAAAAGATTTTCTTTCCCAGATCTGCTTTGAATTGATACTTTTATTATTTCTGACTGCTCTCTGGCAGACAAACAAATCTCTATTAGCTTCAATTTCAACAGTTTCAAAGTTCTCTTATGCTCCAGGTTGCAAGACTAGACATTAAAGATGTAGTTAGACTGTAGCCTAGAGCGTTTTATATCAGCTTTGAAGCTCCTCAGTAATTTCTTAGTCTATCTACATGACTTGTGAAAGGATGTTAGAGTAAAATGCGTACTTAAGTGAGATATCAGCGTTTGTTTATAATAAAAACTTCCATGGTTTATTTCTATTGTTTATTAAATTCTCAATTAATTGAAAAGCTGTTATTGCTGAGCAAGTTCTGGTGGCCCAGCATTATAGGCAATGCAAATATTTGAGGAATATAATGTATACATCTGTTTTCAATTTCCATTGATATTTTTTCATTGCACTGAAAACTTGAAATAACATAATGTTAATTTAAAATTCACAGTTGCTTTTCTCACCATTTTGTATTAATTTTTTGCTGGAATAAGTTGAATTATATAATGGTGGCAGCAATGTGGTGTGAAAATGTTTAACGCAGCCAAACTTTAACTACTAGATTTGACTCCAAAATAAATTTCTATCTAAATTTAGCTGCTAAGGAATGAAGAGTTGTGGAAAAGAAATCCGATAGTAGTTCATAAAATTGGTTGCTAAATGAAATATAATTGCATTTTTATTTTCAACAGTCTAATTTCAACTCTAATGTGGAACGCTTGAACCTTCAAAGTTTAACAGGAGTTTTAGGGAAGGGAGTTTTTTATAAATTGGCATCTCAGCTGGTCTTAAAATAACAGACTAAGTAGTAAACAAATTACAGCTATATGTAAGTTGTTCCTTACAGAGTTGTCACATCACATCATTTCTCACATTTCACATCATGGCCTGTAATTTCAATGCTTAAATAAGGTTAAATTCCTCCATTTCTGTTGGAAGAAATGCTTGAGTATAGAATGACTGGCACTGATTGATTAAAATCAATTCAGATATAAGGCAACATCCATTCACATCCGAACAAAGTTTGAAGTTTTAAATACCATGTAGAATTAATGTGTGTTGTAGGCTGTTATAGCAATAGGCCTCAGCTCAGAGCTGGAGTAGTACAGCAAACAAGACATTACTAAAGTTCCACTCTTTAAACACATGAAACATTTTCTAATTGGTATACTGGTCCAGTGTCAATGGTTTTTATCATCATGTAATGGCTGGATTCAATAGTGCATATTTATTTCCACTATCTCTAAAGTATATCTAGGTGACTAATTTAGATGAAGGCTTTCAAAGTTTTGATATCTACCACAAACAGCTCTCAACTTGTTTTTATAGCCTCCGAAAAGCAAATGAAGTTAGTTTGCAGAGAATCTTCAGAAGAGCATCTCCAGCCCTTCAAGGAAAAATTAGAAGAATTCTTCCAGAAAGGTAAAGACATTTTAAAATATGTATATATTGGTCAATATTGTAATGTTTTACAAAGTGTTCTATATGTAATATGAGCTGTGTTAAGTATCTATTGTCTCTTCAAATTCCTACTATCTGTTGTGGATTATATTCCAAATATGCCTAATATGCGTTCAGAGTAATGGATACACAGATCTTAGACACCATTTATCAAAGGTAATTATTTCCTTGATCTCACACATTTCTTATTATTTTCTGTTTTATCTTTTATCATTATATTTAGGTAATTATATTCATCGTAGACTTATCAGATAGAATTTATGTCCTCAAGTCTATAAAAGACTAGAATAGAAAATATCTTTCCACATATATACATGAGGTAATGTGATTTTATATCAATGGTATAGCCATTAATTGACTAATTAGATTTGAAGATTTTGCCTAAGGTGAAGGAAGTGATTTACAAGGTCAGAGTCCAGTGATAAAGAGGAATGAGATCTGAGGGTGCCTTTTGATGATCAGTACAAGACAATGTAAATGTATATTGCTGCTTTTGAAAAGGGCAGTCTTACTCTCTTGTTTTCCTAGAGTGCTGCACAGATCAGCACTGTAGCATCTCTGGAGCAGTTCAAGGGTATAGATAAGGAAACAAAGATTTTTCTTTTCCAATATGTAGGAGTTGTTGAGGTAACAGAGTGCTTCAGTATTTCTGGGAATTATATTAAAAATTCTTAAGAAATAAATTTTACCAGGGGGCTAATATTTTCCCCTGGAACTGTGTTCAACTTAAAAATTTGCCTTTTGAGAAATTAAGAAAACTATCTGAATCTACTAATCTAGGCAGATTACTATTAGTGATCATTCAAATTGTTATAATTATTTCTGACTTAGCATATTCCATCTTATAAAGATCCTTCCAATACCTTTTTAATAATATCATTTCATGAGCTTGTCTTATATTATTTACTAAGAGAAAACAGATGCTTTAAGAGTAACAATATTTGTTAAATTGTTTTGTTGGTTTTTTTGGATATGTTTGGATATGTATGGATATGATAGGCTCTTTAAGTTTATTAGACAGTGCAAAGATACAAATTTCTTGCCACAGAACTTGTAAAACAAGAAAATTATGATGAAATTCGTGCATTAAAGCAGGACAGTTATCTTTGCCACTTGTTTACTGGAATTTTTTACATAGAGTTTACCAGTAATATCAATATTGAGATAATATTCAAGATATATCTACATTACCTTTATGAACTCCAGTATGCTTCTTTATCTTGCTTGTCAGAGCACTGTAGCTCAAACTGGTGAGCTGTAACGCTATTTGGGTTACAAATCCAAAACACAGCACCATACGAGCTGCTATGAAGACAATTAACTTCATTCCAGCCAGTAATGAAAATAGGAAAATGTCGACAAAAAGAAAAAAAAAAAATCTCAAAAATGTCAGGAGTCCAGCCTTAAGCATGGGGAATACACTGTGTTGTCTTCTCATGCTTTCCTTTGATATCTTTGTTATACTTGTTCTCATTCTGTACTCATTTTCATTAGAATATTCATGTACAAAGTCCTGGGAACTTCAGACCCTAGAGTTGTTCACCCTTTACCTCCTTCAGTCACTTATCTCCTTGATTTGAATCTTTATAATGGGTGACTGGTACCTTGTATGGCATTAGAAGGGAAATCCTATAACATCATGCACTGAAGATACATGACAACTGTCTTGATTTATAATATTAGGATAGGTGTTGGACAAATTTCAAGAAGTTCAGTGGTTCAGTTCAGATAAGCATCTGGAAACTCAAATACATCTCTAAAATTAGGAGTTAACTGATAATACCGAGCATCCGTTAAGCATCTGCTTTCAGTTTTGTTTGTTTAAAAAAAGAGTTGTGGATGACTTAAGCAAATGTATGAAAAAATAGTCTGTTATCTTCCTGCCAGCTCACAGCAAGTATCCAAAGCTCAGAAACTTCTGGCTTGGAAATAGGGCTGGAACTTATAGATACTCGTGTGTTGTTTTTTTTTTTTTTTTTCTCAAATCCTGATTTCCCATAATTTCTTCTCAGTGATAAATTGGAAATACTGTAGGGGGGGAAAAAAAAAGATTGATTTGCTTAATTGGATCTGTTTATATTTCCTAATTACGATTCATACCAATTAAATCTAGTACTTGCTGTGTTGTAATAAAAAGCACACAGTGTTATGGAGACTGACATTCTAAAATGCAAAAGGGGATAAACTGTACTTCTGCTGATGTCAGTGCTGTTTTGTATAACTGACTTTAACATAGTCTAGTGCCTTCAGCAAAGAATTAGGTGCCAGAACCTTTAGGTTCTATTCTCAGTTCAGCTACTTGACATGTTATGCTAGAAGAGTTGGTTAATCTCTTTTTCAGAGAGTCTCACTTTCCTGGTACACTGTATAAAATAATGATTCTTGTTCTTTTTAGTAGTGAAAGATGATCTTTGTCAAGTGTTACATGATTCCCACATGAAAGGTGTAAACTGTGTTAGTTCTTCATTAGCTGTATTTTATATGCTCATGCTTTTTAAAAGGACTTAGCTTGTACTGAAAACAAAAATAATCATTAATAGATTTAATAGTATGGTGGGAAAAAAAAGAGTAGTTTTACTGTAATTCATAGACATAAGAATTACCATAAGAGACTGAACACATGCTGTATTTCCAGTAAAGTTGCTGCATGTTGCTTTCAAAAATACATTTGTTATATTTTCCACGATTCACAAAAATATCTTCAAAATCATGACATTAACAGTTGGTTTGGTATACCCCTTAATTTATGAAACTATTGCTCAGAACTGCTTAGGAAAAAAACTCTTCTTTGAATTATTGATTGTCAATCAGAATTGTTAAACGTATGTGAGAAAAGTGCAAAATGTTCTGAAAAGGAGAAAAGTAAGAGAGTTTGCTTATTGCAGCTACGAAGCTTGCTAGAAAGGGTGCTGGCCATCAGCCATTGTTGTTAGTTTTTCATGACACTTTTTATTTTCTTTCTGTCTTCTCTCAAGTATAATATGAACCAGAAAGTAGACAGCATACAAGGGCAGTCAACTAGCCCTAATAAAATTTACTTTTCACTTTCCCCTTTGACTATCTCATATTATTTGTCCATTGTCATAACTGTGGAAGTTTGTAACTCACATTCATCCAGGATCTTGCAAAATCTGGTCCCAAATTCCCCTTCAGTGGTTCCAGCCTAAAAAGCATGTAAAAACTCTAATCTGGGCTGCATTTCCTCCCTCAAATACTGGAACGTGTGAATCAAAAAGTCTTTAGGCTTTGTAGCAGTTAGCCTAGGAAGTTCATAGCTGTCTTTTTTCATTTCTACAAGAATAAAGCATCTTGCTGATGGAAAATGTGCTATTAAAGGAATTCATTCCATTTACGACAGAGTCTGGGAAACAAGTAGTCTGATGTCAGAACAGAACAGTTTTTGAAAATCATTAATAGTGAGAAGGAATGCTATTTGGAAAAGCCACATGATACACTCAAGTGCCCAAGGTAACAAGATGGAAAGGGAGGGATTTGTCAGTTACAGTAGATCTGCTGAGATCAATCTCATAACAGCAGGAATCGTCCCGCATATGGAATTCTAAACTTGCATTTGGATTAACAACACTGGTTAAGTTGTTGTTTTGCTACCATAATTGTTTGTCTTACACTATATAAGAGATGACTGTTGCTCAGTCATGGCACTGTACAGTAGAAAAATAGAGTCACAAACCAAGTGATTCAGTGTACTATTATGTCAGAAGGTAGTATATTTTTCAGACAAGGCTAGCAAGCAAATGGAAAATGTCAGTAAATCTGATTTTTACTGCTAAGTGATTTCTTAATAATTTTAGCCAGGCTACAGTAGCTACCTGGGCATGCTTCCAAACTGTTGTGCTTTCTAATGTATTTCTAGAGCAGAACAGGAGCTTTGATCCACATCTATTCATTTGCCAGTTTGAATGCACTGTAGAGTGTTGTTGAGGTAGTCCAGAGGGAAAGAAAATAAGAAATAAATTCTTTTAAGGCTAGCCCATTTCATTTGTATGTTAACTATTTTCTGTTTTGTATTATTCTTGTGGGAGTATAACTGAGAAATTAAGAAACATCATGAAAAAATTGTATTCAAGTGCACTGGCCAGAAGCTCTTCTTGATTTCCCTGACATGAGAATAGGAAAGGTAAATGGGATGCTTATCTGAACCTGTAAGAGACCAGGCTCCCTAAGCAGGCAGACAGATACCTCCTGACCTTTTCAAATATATGAAACATTTTCATGTATATTGTTTGATCCAGGTCACTGCAACTATATAAAGAATTGTCACTTCTTTTCTGGTATCTCCAAGCTTTCATGTCAGTTCTACCTTCATAACTTTAATTCCAGTAATGTAGTTTCTTCTAATTAAATTTAAATAACAAATGTTTGTTGTGATTCTATATTTTCTTACTCATTTGTAAGAAGATGAAATACTGAATGTTTGAAATCACTGGTCTTTAGATCATAGAGTTCAAAGCTAAACCTTCTCAATGTGTATTGGACTACTTTTAACTGAATCTTTTCTAAGGTTCTAAGGTAGTTTCCAGGAAGATTTTTTTTATTCTTCTTCATTCTTAATATCCTTACTCAGATAATTTTGTTATCATTTTAATCATTATCAGCTTACATTTATTTTCACTCAATTTTACTACTTTTAATTTGCTTCTTCAGAATACCTAATGTATCATCTCATAATAGCATTCAGATAAGGAAGTTGCCCCGTGCCTTTTCTTTAACTCTATTCCTGTAAAGCATTTCAGCTGGCTGTCAATTTCTTGTTATTTTCTGCTTGCTTCTGGATTTAAAAATGTTTTCTTCAATGTGGTTCTGATGCTATATATTTCCATATGAAGTACTTTATTCTCTTTATCTAGTAGTATCCATGGTATCAACCCAGGCATCCTTATTTTTTTAATTTATTGACCCTGAGTAGAATCTGTTAAAATAATTTCTTCTATTAAAGCAAA